TAGAGTCAAATGTATATATATATATTATATTTGTTAAAATATTTTTAATCACATTTATTATAAATAGTATTCTTATTTATTGTTTTATGAGTATTTTTGGATTAAAATAATTAAATAGAGTTAAATTAGTAGAAATTTACATATTTAAGTCCAAAAATTTGGTTTTTTTTCTCTTTATATATAAGTTGAAAAGGAGAACATAATTTGACTAACAATAAAGAGAGGAGAGTGATTAGAAGGCAAAGAGATTGTTGAGAAGGTAGCATTACATTGCGAAGAATATACCACAATAATATGAATTTCAAACTTAATCCAAGGAAAAATAGTTGAGGTGGATGATGGATTACATTAAATTTTATCGTAATTAATACTAATTTTGAATTTTATTTTGTTTAATACATATGAAAATAAATTAAAAAAGTGTAAGCATGCAAATTTAATTTGGACTTCGAAAGTTGAATCTTGTCTGTATAAAATAATAAATAAATAAATAAATAAAAAACATAACTTTTTTGTCTCAAAACCTAGTCTTTATCTCTTGAGTAAATGATATTTTGAGAAACTTAAAAAGAAATGCACAAGTATTCCTTGTGTTATGTGACGCATGCCCTTTTTGTTTGAAATCTGGGGATAGGAGAAGTTTAGGAAAATTAACGGAGCATTGCGTCAACGCTTAGCCTTTTCCCCTTTTCACTAGTTTTATTTTCTTCACCATTCTAAAGAATCTTTTAGCTACTCACTAAAATATTTGTTGTTCCAAAGATCATTTAAAACTCTCATAATCTCCATATTTATAAATTTTAATACCACTTTTGTTGTTATTAAATAAAAAGTTAATACAAATTATCTAAGCCACTGGAGTGGTCCTTATTAGGAGAAGAGTTTATGTTAAAATTTCTTTGTTCCTATTATATACTAGAAAATATGAGTAATACAAATGCACCATAATGATAAACAAGGAAAAATTAACTAAAAATTATCATACTCTATTCAATGATATTTGGTGGTTTGTAATGTATGTCATCATGTTTTTGGTAAGGATTGTTTTTGTCTCGTCAAAGGTTAAATTTGTAGCCAAAATACTCGACTTCTCTTGCCAATCTAGGGTCACCATTACCATACATATTACAATTGCAACAAACAAAAATAAATGCTTATATAATAATTATAAAATCATTTTCCTAAGTTAAAAAAGTACTATCCACGTATCTTAAAATCAAAAAAGTCATGACAAGTTGGCACGCAACAATAATATATTAAAACACACCGTCCGTGTTGGTGATCAATCGTTATACTTTAAACATAATTTTTGGGAGTAAAAAATGAAAAATGTTTAACCATATATATAATTGTTATAAATATGATCTTATTTAATTTTAAACTTTATTTTTTATGGATTTTAATTTTCTCAAATTTTATTATTTCAAATAATCTCCATCAACACTAAGTAATAATATGTTATGCATTTAATTGTTTTACATAAAAACACATATGACATGATTAATTATTATTAAACAGTGATAAGGATTATTTGTAAAAGCATAAAATTTGTATAAACCAAAATTAATATGTTCTTAAAAAACAAAATAGAAAGTTATGTTTTCTTGTACTGAGAATACATTTTAACCAAAAACAATTATTAAACGTGTATATTAAGTAGTTGATGATTATTTAAGTCGCTGAAAATATAATCCTATTAAAACTATATAAAAAAAAATTATGCTGTCCATAATAATTATATTTGTTTTGAATGGATATTAAACGTGTATATTAATTATGTTGTATTGAATGGATATTAAATGATTTTTTAGGTAAATAATGTGTACAATATAAGGTACTACTCCGATTCTTAGAGAATTTTTTTTTTTTACGGGTGATGTTAAATATTAATAAATTTTAATTAATTTATTCTATTTAATACTATTATTTTTTTTAAATACTCTTTCATTTAATGAGACGTTTAATTACGTTTTTATTTTTAATATCGACTTTTAAAAAGAGAGTAATTTAGAAAATTATATTATTTTTTAAATGAAATTAATGCAATTAAATAATATTATTTAACTTTCATGATTAACGTAAATTCTTATTTTATTTTATTTATATTTAGAATGCGAGGGATAAATTAATTATGGGCCTTTGACTAATATATCTAGTTTTATATTGCTTGTGAACCAACTTGCTATATATTATCAGTATGATAGTGAGGAATTCGAATACTTTATATAAAATCTTAATTTAATGTTATTTATTTATTGCAAAGGAGCTAGAAACCTAAACTGAAATACACTACTACATATCTAACAAAAATTCAGAAGAAAAAAAAAATTTTAACTAAAAGTGAAAAAAATATAGTTTCTATATATTAAAATTTTTCTTATTTAATTTTTAAAAAATATTTTTTGAAGGTTTAATTACTTTTAGTTTTTATAATTTTTAAAATTTTATCTTTTAATCTTTTAAATTAAAAATTTCCCATTTTAACTCCTATACATATAATTATTTTTTTAGTGCATTTTATCTATTGTTATAAGAATTATGAAAAATAAATACATGAAATTATAAAGATTAAAATATATATTGTGTAGTTAGTGAAACTCGTCGACTTTTTTTATAAATATATTGTTTTTTTAATTGTTTATTTAAATAACTTGGGCCAATTTTTATTTACTTAAATGATTCATTTTGTGGTTTAGGTGAGAAATCAGTTATCTAGTAATCGATTTCTCAATAGTATTTTAAAAAAATACTATTGAGAAACATGTGATAAGATTATTTAAATAAATAATTAAAAAAATAATATATTTAAAAAAAAGTCAAAACATGTCTCGTTTTTCTTTTTACACCTTGTCACTTAGTTTAAAAAAAATTACACACTTTATTATCTGCTAGTTAATCATTTGACGTGGTTAATTGATTGTTTATATAATAACTCATCATAATCTTTACACTTAATAATTTGACAGTTAACAACAAAAAAAATATAATTACAACTACTTAAAATTAACATGCAGATAATTCTTGAAAATACAAATAATAATATATGTATAAGAATATAAAAATCAATTGGTAATAAAATTGTCTCTCAATAGAACTACGACATATCATGTACATGTATACATACAATAATCCAAAGTGAATTGAAAGTACAAAAATCCTATTTGTCAGTCAAGTAACGACTACAAAATAACACCACACCATGGTATTACAAAACAACACCGCCTTCCAACATGACTCCTAACTGAAACTCCTCCTCTAACTAACCTTACTTTGCTCTCATGTTAAGTATGATTATCGTAGTCCAACCACAAAAAAACATGCATGAACAAAGTAATATTCAAAAGAATAAAAAATTAATCAACTTAACAAATATACAACCAACATTGAACAACAATTTAACTTCACAACGTTTCAACATGTTCAACTTCTCACACAACTGGACCAATCATCAATGAGTTAACATATCATGTGAACAACAAAATGCATCAACATATCATGTGCTCAACACACCATTCAACTTGAACAACACAATAACATTATACTCACCAACAAAACAACATAACATATGTACAACATCATCAAATATCTCAACAACATACGCACAATACAATAATTGCATGTGTCATTATGCATTTCAACTAAAAGATCTCTTACAGTACAAGTGAGCAATCTAAGTGTTTGACCTTACCGAATCAAAAACGTGATTTCTTGAATTTCGTCACTTAAACTATAAAAGTCTAGCATTTCAGTCAGGTAGGACAATTTGGATGTGAGCATACCACGATATTAGTTTGCATAACTAAACCACTTATGGGATTAACCTACTGACTACCCTTCAAATACTATGTCCCTTCCACTACTTAGAGATTTTAACCTCCGACCTTGTAA